AACATTCAGAAAACTAAGATCATGGCATCTGGTCCCATCACTTCATGGCAAATAGATGGGGAAACAGTGGAAACAGTGAGAGCCTTTATTTTCTTGGGTTCCAAAATCACTGCAGGTGGTGACTGCAATCATGAGATTGAAAAAATATTTGCTCCTTGAAGAAAAGCTATGACCAACCTAGACAGTATACTAAGAAACAGAGACATTACTTTGCTGACAAAGGTTCATGTAGTCAAAACTATGCTTTTTCCAGTGGTCATGTATGGATGTGAGAGTTGGACCATAAAGGAGGCTGGGCAGCAAAGAATTGATGCTTTTGAACTGTGGTGTTGGAGAAGACTCTTGAGAGTCCCTTGGACTGCAAGGAGATCCAACCAGTCCATCCCAAAGGAAATCAGTCCTGAATATTCATTGGAAGGACTGATGCTGAAGCTGAAACTCCAATATTTCGGCCACCTGATGCAAAGAACAGATTCATTGGAAAAGACCCTGATGCTGGGGAAGATTGAAGGTGGGAGGAGAAAGGGATGACAGAGAATGAGATGGTTGGATGGCATCACTGACTCGATGGACATGAGTTTGTGTAAGCTCCGGGAGTTGGTGATGGACAGGGAAGCCTGGTGTGCTGCATTCCATGGGGTTGCAAAGAGTCAGACACAACTGAGCGACTGAACTGAGGTAGAAATTCTTTTGAAAATATTACTATAGCAGAGAAACTATTTTCTATCACAATATCTATTATCTTCTCCTTCCCCAGTAACAGACTTTGATTTTATGTGTAGCAGCCATGTACCCAGACAAAAGACTTCTTCATTCTCAGATAAAGAAGACTTCATTTTCTCTTACAGCTACTTACAACCATGTGACTCAGTTCTGCTTAATGTGATGTAAGTGGAAACATTGTATTGGGCTTCCAGGACCTTTCTTTAAAGAGAATGGGCCTTCTTTGTCCTTTCATCCATTTCACTGCCTGGAGTAGAGGTGAAATAGCTGGAGCTCTATCTGCCAGTTTAAACTATGAGGAAAAGAGATATACTTTAAGGATGGCTGAGAGCTGACACTGTCCTTGGACTTCCTACCTCCAGGGAAATAAATTATTTTATTCAAGCTTCTCTTATTTAGGATTTTTGGGTTATTTGCAAGTGAACCTGACCCTAAGTAACTCATCTACTTTTTGTCTACATGATGTCTAACTCTACATGGCGCTTTCATGTATATTATCCCATTTTCAACAGATAGGAGGATATCCATTTTCCTGTTTCTAGGTGGTCCTGATTCCAGGAGAGTCAGTGAGGGCCAACGGCAACCATTAGAGAGCCGTTTACCTACCCAGGTTGAAGACCATGGGAAAACTGGAAATATTGGGTTCAGCAGGCAAAAAGGAGATGCTGTTCTCAGAGTTAATGACAACTCTAGGGGAAACTCTGCCTCCATTTTTTGAAGCTAGGCTCTGATTGTTGGAAACCCAAGCCTTTTTCACTACCTCACTTCCTCATCTTTGAAATAGCATTGGTCTCTGCCAAGAACTTTGAATATAAATATTGTCTTGTGGAAATTTTTTTTTCTAAAGCAGAGCCTCACCAATGTTTTCATTCCTCACTGATTGGCTGTTGGACTCATCCTTAGTGAAAATTCTTCAGGAGTAGGTATTGCCCAAAGACAGCTCTTCGGGAGTCCATCTGCTTTGTGATAGAGATGGTATCTGTGGCTGGAGTAAGAGTCTTAGTACTCTGATGCCACCTGCTGCACTTCATGCCAAGGTAGCAACTGGTCCAGGATCTCCAACAGTTATTTCTGTCTTGTTCGATTTCCACCTTCCTCTACTCTCTAGCATGTCCTTCCTCTACCCCAGCTCCCACACTGGGTTCTCTTCCAAAGTTGGGCAGGCATTTTTGCCCAGGTCCCCTTCTCCCTCACTCCTCTAAGGAACCCTAGCAGGATCTGGCTAATTCTATCATGGCCCACCCTGACCCAGCACTTCTTGAAACTGCCTGTTATACACAAGGAACCCAGCCTGGGCAGGCTCTTCCTTAAGGTGACATTTTGATTCACAGCAAGGCACCCTTGGAAGGGGTGAGTTGCGTGTGTCTCAAAGCAGAGACGGCATCCACAGTGGTCTAAGCAGAACCTTGCTTTCCAAGGGTGGTGATGAGAGGGGTTAATGGACTCTGATGGTTTAATGGCAATCATCGTTTTCTCGTCTATTATTCATATTTTCACTCTTGGCAGTCCTGTGAGGTATTTTGTGTGAATTTTACAGATATGCTCTGCGAAGAGGAGAGGGCAGCAAACACTGACAGTGAGCGCCAGGCCTGAGTTAGGGTGTTGCACGCACTGGCTGCCGTCACAGCAGGGGAAGGCATGCGGCTGTCACGAGTCAGCACTTGGTTCTACTGGAGCCCACTGCGGGCCTGTACAAGCCCATAGGTCAGAGCAGCTTACTATAAATTCGAACCTTGACTGTGTCTTCTGCAGCACAGAGATGACAGGCCTGGGATCTAGGCTTGAGCTCACTGGCGCCCCGGGAGGCAGCGGAGTACAGTGGCCGCAGCACAGGCTGTGCAGCCAGGCAGAGCTGCTGGCGGGATCCTGGCATCACTGCTCAACAGTCAGGGGACCTTGGCCAAGTCACTGAACTTGCTCTGATCCTATATTCCACATCTGTAAGGCGGTGATGAAAACAGTGCTGGTCTTCAACAGTTGCAATGATTGAATGTGAAGGAAGGTAAACTGTCTTCTGTTCCGTAATTCTTTGGTCTCGTTAATATTATTTTCATTGTTACTAATCGAAGAGGATGTTCTGACATCCATCCTGGGAAAAAGGAAGTTATCTGCTTTGCCCACCCACCCACCTGGAATGGAGATCTACTCAGTTAATGAACCTGCTCTGAGGTTGTTGGGGCAGTTTTTCAGCTTCTGCCTTTGGGCCGAAAGCTGCCTGGCTGGGCTGGCTGAGCCTCTAAGGCCGTTCCCCACTCCCCAGCTGCAGATCTGGTTTCTTTCACCCTCATGAAAGGCCCAGGCAGAGATGACTATGAAAGCCAAGATTTTCAGGGTCCTCAGGGGCAGAGAAGCCGACCACAGAGGCCATGGCTGTTTTCCTACCGTACCTGGTCCCACGCGGTGCCCCTCCCTCCTCACCCTCTCTGGGACTCATTCCCGAAGGACAGGGACTGGTCTGAGCCCCCAGCCAGAACAGTGCCTGCCTGGGTGAGCAGGCTCTCCTGGGGTACCCCGTCCTCAAGGAATGGAGTGAAAATCGCTCAGTCATGTCCAACTCTGTGAGACCCCATGGACTATACAGTCCATGGAGTTCTCCAGGCCAGAATACTAGAGAGGGTAGCCTTTCCCTTCTCCAGGGGATCTTCCCAACCCAGGGATTGAACCCAGGTATTGACCCCAGGGATCAAACCTAGGCATGAAGACCTCAGCAAAGATTCACATCAGCCTGGTGGGCTCCTATTGTTCCTTCCTTGTCCAGGCCCATGTGAATGTTAGGACATAGTTTCTTTGAACTGTGCTGGCTTCCTCAACTTCTCCTGTGCTGTGCTTAGCTGCACAGCAGCTAAGGTCACTCTTTGTGACCCTATGGGCTGCAGCCCGTCAGGCTCCTCTGTCCACGGGGATTCTCAGGCAAGAACACCAGAGTGAGTTGCCATGCCCTCCAACCCAGGGATTGAACCAGGTCTCCCACACTGCAGGTGGATTCTTTACTGAGTCAGCAGAGAAGCACAGGAATGCTGGAGTGGGCAGCCTCTCCCCCTTCCAGGGGATCTTCCCGAGCCAGGGATCAGACCCGGGTCTCCTGCATTGCAGGCAGATTCTTAATCAGCTGAGCTTCCAGGGAAGCCCCAACTTCGCCTACTTTGTGCTAATTTTTCTTTTTAGTTGCCTAGGATGGAGTAGACTCTACTCTGTAGGGAGTAAGTATACCAGCTTCAGGGGCAGGCAACCCAGGTTCAAATGGCCTTTCTTTACACTGCCAGTCATATACCTGGTGAGGCAGGCAGTGTGTGGCGCATGGGGCCAAGTGCCCTACAGGGATTATCTCGTGAGCCCGTATAGCATCTCCATTAGGCAGCTGTTCCTAACAGATGAGGGAATTCAGGCACAGAGAGGTAAAGTAACTTTCTCAAGGCAGCACAGCATGGGATCTGTAACACCTAGGAGGGACCCGTGGGAGGAAAGAGGTGAGGTGGAAAGAAAAAGGAAGTCTGCTTTTACGATTTTGCTCAGAGCCTGTCTCCTCAGCCCCAAGGATGTGGAGTCCAACTGTGGAGCCACTCCCCTCAGTTTTGTCAGGAGGAGGTCTGACGGCAGAGAGAGGAGGTCACTGAACATCGATGGGAAAATTTATGAAGATGCAAAAAGGCTTTCCCAAGGAAAAACCATTCTAACAGGTTTGGCAGACAGGATGTGAAAAGGTGCAGAATTTCTGGGGCGAGCCAGGGGGAGGGGAGCAGGAAGTCAGCGAGGATGCATTTTTAGCTGGTCAGGAGTAACCATTTAATTGTGTTTGGATCTCAAGGGACTTCAGGCCACCAGAGTCATAAATACACATGAGCCTAACGCAGTCTCGTGGGCAGTAAAACAGCGAAGGTGGTGTCCCTGACTCCAGGGGCAGCCGATTTGTTTTAATTTTTGAATTAACGAGCAATTTCAGATGCAAGAGCCTTGGCCCACCAAGAAATGTAACTTTAAGCTGAGATTTTCTTCTCTCTTCTGCTACGTGCTTTCCACATCCTCTGTGTTTCAGCACTTTCCTCTTCTCCATTCCAGAAAGAACCTGCATTTCCCTTTCTCAGCTCCTTTCCTGGATTGGTGTGTGCTAAGTCTCTTGCAGTTGTCATCATGTCTTCAGAATGCCTTTGATAGGTACAGGAAGTTGTACCAGAGGGAGATGGAATCAGCAATCAATAAAAAAGAACTATGTTTCTAAGAAGAATGCATCATGGGCTTCCCACAGGAGTTGTGTACTATATGTTCTAATATCTGTGGAACAATGGATCTAATTTTTAGTTCTTCTGCTTGGCTTTCCCAGCCATCTCAGCAAAAAAGAAAATGGACATTTTAACCTGCTGCCCAGCTTACTGATGACTTATACTAAAGATTGCTTTACCCTTTAACCCCTTCATTGTTATCGCAGAATAAAATCTCTCCCTTCTCTTCCTCCAGCTTTATTTCTCCTGGCTACTAGTTTAGTATATTTATGGTGCATGAGTCATCAAGCTGCCCTTTGATTGGATAAAAACCAAGCACCCCTGAGACCATCAGTCAATTACAGCTATTCTCAGCTTCATTCACAGATTTATTAGCTTGCACACACAGAGAGAAATTCATTCAGCAAAGTTCATTCATAAAAATTTCAACACGCTGCGTATCATCCTGCACATTTCAGCCTTCTGTTGCAGAGAGGCTTCTGAAGGCTCTGAGAGGAGTCGGGGAGGGAGGGAAGCTCCGAGCCAGGGTGGGCAGGCTGGGAGGGGATCTGAGGAACACGGAAAGACCACAAGTCAGAGAAATAATGCGGAGGAGTGCCTGTCACTAGTACTGCTGGCTTGAGGCCCAGATGGGATGCAAGACAAGATCTTCCCAGAGAGGGCAGCCATCAGGAGAAACGAACTCAGGCAGAAGGGCCTTTGGCTCATACAGACATTTCCTTTTTTTTTTAATGAACAATCGCTGGAACAAATAAAGGGTTAATAGGCCAGACATTGCCCCGCCCTGTGGGAACCGGAGGGAGCAGGTTTGAAAGTTCCTGTGTGCAGAAGGGAGGATGGGGGTGGGGGGCGCTAAATATTTCTGCAAGGCTCCCGCACCGCCAGCGACGCGGCGGGACCGGCTGGCTGGTTCTCCGCCCGGTTCCGTGCCCAAGAGTAGGAGGTGAGCGAGCCTCGCCGCCGCGAGGCTGGGTCCAAGCTTTCCCAGCAAGGAATCCCCGGCGAGAACATCGGGTGCTGCCGCTGGGCCACAGACGGGACCGAAATCAGCTGGGTAGGCGTTTTCCCCTGGGCTGTTACCCTCGAGGACCCGGAGCCGAGGCAGGCGAGCGCGAGAGCGGAGTTGGAGAGGTGGCTGCCGCAAGTTGCACGGGGCATTGAGGCATTTGTCTTCCGTTCCGTTCATCTAGCAGACGGCGAGGCGATTTATGCAACAGTATCCTGGTTCAGCACTGCCAAGGCTATGCGAGAGGGCGGTGAGGACAGCCTGGCAGGACTCGTGCTATATGTAGGACTCTTCGGGCACCCCGGGATGCTGCACAGGGCCAAGTACAGCCGCTTTCGGAATGAGTCCATCACGTCCTTGGACGAAGGCGGCCCGGGAGGCTCGACCGGGAGCAAGGGCTCGCCGCAGCCTCCTTACCCCGCCCTGGCACCTCACCTGCCCGCTGAAGATGCTGCCTTGGCGTCCCAGGAGAGCCCCACCCCATTGTGCACCTTGATCCCTCGCTTGGCCAGCGTAAAGCTGGCCAACCCAGCCACCTTGCTGAGTCTGAAAAACTTTTGTTTGGGTACCAAAGAGGTACCTCGACTCAAGCTCCAGGAAAGCCAGGACCCGGCTCCCAGCAGCCCGGCTGCCCCTGAAACCAGTCTCAATAGGGCCGTGCCAGCACCTCCACCTCAGCGGGACCCCCTGGGGCACAGGGCGACCTCTTTAACTCCTGACGCCTGCCCACTTCCCGGCCCTGGGGAACCAGCCCCCCGGAACAGACAGGACAGACACTTTCTGCAGCACCTGTTGGGGCTGGGCATGAACTACTATGTGAGGGTAAGTCTGTTTCCCTCTCTGCACTCCTTCTGCAAAGGGCATATTCTCTGCTTTCTGAAAGGGGCTGCGCATTATCCGGTGGAGTTTTAGGTTTGGATAAGTCATCATGGGGCTTCTCAGGTGGCGCTAGTGGTAAAGAACCCACCTACCAATGCAGGAGACCTGAATGACATGGGTTCAGATCCCTGGGTAGGGAAGATCCCCTGGAGGAGAGCTTGACAACCCACTCTAGTGTTCTTGCCTAGAGAATCCTATGGCCAGAGGAGCCTGGCAGGCTACCGTCCATGCATAGGGTCCCAGAGAGTCAGACATGACTGAAGCAGACTTAGCATGCAAGCACATAAGACGTTGTGTAGCTGGAGGGGGTGGAGAAGGGAAGCTAGTCTTATATCAAATATCTGGCCTTTATCAGAGTCACACAACTTTTGGTTCAAGGGCATGAACTACATGTACTACATATTAGTGTAGGTAGTTGCCAGGGGTAGGGGCAACCTCTCATAGAGAAAGCTGAGATGTCTCTGCTGGACTGAGCATTCTGTGCAAGAAGAATCAAGAATTTCAAATCTAATTAGTGATTAAGACTCAGTAAATTATACTGGCCATTGTGTTTCAGTAGAGATTTTTGTGCTGGAGGAATACATAGTATATAAGGGACCTGAACTGTTTTTAAAAATCTAATTCAGCATTTAACAAACACTTCTCCAAACATGGCTGAATCTTTAGTCTTGTGTTAGGAGGTAGCCTTAGGTCTTTGGTGCACATTTTTTTGGTCTTTATTGCCTACGCTGTGGCCATGGGGCCTTGTCCATGAGCCATGTGCAAAATCAAGGACCTTATTGGCCTTGCATCTGCCCTTTTCCATTTCATATCTGAGTAAAAGAAGATTTGGCTTCTGTTCTTCTAGAGCTCACAATTTCAATCAGGGAAACCAACAAATACAGGTGAAATAATAAGAGAACAGTATTTAGCAACATATATCTGGTGTGAGATGCTGAGGGAATTCAGGAAAAGGGGAAGGTTGTTGTGGTCAGGGATTCATTCATAGGGGAACCCTCAGGGAAGGTGCATCTTGGAAGAGCTATCAGATCTTTATTGGCGGAAAGCAGGAGATTCCTGGCAGGGCAAAAACTGGAGCAAAGTCCAAAGGCAGATATCACTGTGGTTACTGCAGGGGAGCATCATGCTGGGCTTAACTGAAAAGAGAGGGAATGCTTTAGGGTAGCTGGTGGTAGAGAGCGTGGCTGGCACATAGTTGATGCTCAAACAAATATGAGTAAAATAAGGCAAATTACAGACAGATCTCGGGTAGCTTGGGGAGGAGGGGGCAGCTGACCAAAGCTCTTAATGCCAAATAGGGAGTTTGTAACACTCTGACTGGCAAACAGGAACCCTCATAGGTTTATAAATCAACTACAACCTGATGAAGGCGGTTTCAAAAAGACCAATCTGTGAATTTATTTATGAAGCAGGGAAAAATTAGCAATTGGGAGGTCGATAAGAAAGATACTCTAGTTTAGGCACCAGGGGTGGTAACATGGATTAATGTGAAGATGAGAGAAAATAAATGAATATGAGTCTCTGTGAAAAGAACCTCAACAGCCTTGAATGACTGAGCAGATCATTTCAGATCATCATACAAATAACAGACGGGTGAACATTTATTGAGCAGCGAGTAGACTGCTGAGCGTGTTTATTGCTATTTATAGTGGCTGTGGATGATTATTGATAGAGTTGTGAGGAATGAAAGATAACTTCAGATGTAAGCCTCCCAATGGGATTAGCGATGTCAGTGATAGAGTGAGTTGGGAACAGGGTCACATTATGTTTAAAGTAATGATATCTAAATGGTTCTAATTTGTAGGTAGCCATTGTGTAAGACTAGCACTCTGGTGAGTAGTCTGATCTGAAGGTAGACATTTGAGGGATAGCCCAATAACTGTATCACACACAGACAATTAAGATCTCAAAGAAAGTAAAATAATGAATGCTGAAAGGGTTGCAGGGAAAGCAGACTAGGGGCAGCCTTGGTGAATTGATAACAAAAACCTCCAAGGAAGATAAATTTATAGGACACTCAGCTCTTACCCTCCCTCACAGTGACACAGCTCATCATGAAAACAGTTTCATGTACCTACTAAAAGTTTGTGGGTACTTCTTACTGGTCAAGCTTAAGCATCCTCCAGGCTCTAATGGGAGGATGTGATTCTCCTACGCCATGCTCGGCGCCTGCCTTTCCATCACCTGGACATCCTCTGTCTTCTGCTTTGCCTTTCCTTCCCTCTTGTACTTCCTTCCACCTCCCCACACCCATACACATGTACAATTTCTAATGTGGACAGGTTGCTGTGTGATCTCCATTTCCCTAGGGAGTGTCTCCACTGGCATTTTAGGTTTTTAATGAGGATGCCATCTGTCTTTTTCCTGGTGATGACGATGGATCCTAGGAAAAGTGCTGACCTCATGATCTATGTGAGTCACACTATGTTGCCAACAGACAGTGACATGAAACACCGGTGGACACCTCTTTTAGGAAGTCAAATATACATGGAAAACCCTTATTTATTAACTTTTATAAAACCCTAGCTTTGAAAGATGGAAGGAACTCAAAATTTATCAAGCTCAGTGCCTCCATGAGGAAACTGAAGACTAGAGAAGTGATTTCTTTTTTACGGCCACACAAGTGAGTCAAAAGAAGAGTTAGCAGCAGAATCCAGTTGCCCTGTGTGTTCCAGTCTTTGCTTCTTTCACCACCGGTTTTCATCCTGGTTGAGATTGTGCTCAGAATTCTTTTAGATGTGATGTGCACTCATTTTAAAAGATGAAATGCCAACCTGTTAATTTATAGTGAAAATTATTGTGTCAAGGAAACCAAAACTGTGATCTCATCTGTAGATAAATGTGCATAGGAAGAGTTAAATCAAAGGTTTCTTGATGATGATGAAAACAGAGTAGAGAAGTGAGAGGGATATTCTTTTTTGAAGAATTTATTTTATGATGATAACACTTGTTTATAAATTTCATGTGTACAACTTTACATTTCTACTTCTGTATACATACACTACAATGTGCTCACCACCAAAAGTTTAGTTTCCATCTTTCACCATAGAGTTGACCCCTTTACAAAGCTGTTTTACCCCTGCCCCTTCCCCTCTGATAACCTCTACTATATCCTCTGTACCTACATGTTCTTTTGCTTTATTTATTTTAGTTTTTATATTCCACACATGAATGAAATTATATGATATTTGCCTTCTCTGTCTGACTTATTTCACTTAGCATAATACTCTTAAGGTCCATCCATATTGTTGCAATTCTTTTTTATGGCTGATATTCCATTGTGTGTGTGTGTGTGTGTGTGTGTGTGTGTGTACATGCTAAGTTGCTTCGGTCATATCTGACTCTGT